GTAAACAACGATATCTTTCCCTCTTCTTGTTTCAGTTTCATACGAATCAACTCAATATCATTGGATCGGTTCCCAGGAGTCACTCCCAGACGGAACGCATCCTTCTTCGGGCCCGAAATCTCTTCGTCGTATTTGGAAAGCATTGACTTTGTCTTAAGAATCCCGAACTCATCCAACTCTGGCTCGTCGTACGGCCTATACTCAGGTCTTCTCAGTTTGTTATCAATGTTTGTTTTGGCCTTTTTGTCGTCAATTATGTTCACGTTTTCCAACACATCCTCGTCTTCGTCCAACACAGCCTTGTCTTTAAGGGTTAGCACCACTTGTTGTCCTTCTTTGAAGTCCTCCTCTTTGTGGCCGACAGTCAACCCTTTCAGGTGTCGAGACGTATAGGCCATCGCTTTCTTTTTCTTCAAGTCTTCGTCAATGAGTGTCGAGACACCGAACTCCTCATCCATTTCCTCCAACAGTTGCGCCCTTTTGGCGGCCGTCGCCTTCTCTTCTGCTAGTTTTCGACTCTTCATAACCCAAGCGCTCGAGTCTTCTTCCTTATCGCTATCAGACAGACGGTTTGGGAAATGTCAGGAATCGAAAACTTGCTAAAAGGCAAATAAGGAGACGTGGAGTTAGAAGAGGAATTAGAAAAGCCGGAGATAAAATAGTGAGTAAAAGAGCCAGAAGTGCTTATCCTCCTTTGTTTCCATCTTATCGCCTGTTTTGTCGTCACTTGAGGTCACGTCTAATGGTTTTAATCCTAATTTGATCCGCAATTTACTGCAAAACAAACAAACAATTCATTTAATAAACGATTAATACATTAATATCGCATTCAATGCATACTTAGTCTCTTCAACGGAAAGCGACTCAGTATTTGATCCCTCAGTCTGTTGTGAATCTATGGATTGAATGCAAAACACAATTAACGCAAAGAGTGACACAAATGAGAGCTGAAGACAAACCTTCTTTAGTCTGATGTCCATCCCTTCTATTGGTTCTGTCGCTCACATCAGAACTCTTTTGATCTAATTTTACGGTTTTATTAACTGAAGAATTACTACTTTTCGAGATCAAGACATCCTTTACTTCCTTTACCTTTAATTTTTTCAAATCATTTCTGTCGTCGTCGGAGGTGTTGTCACCTCTTTGTCTCTTTCGGGAACCGCTGGACGACTCTTTGTCTTTGTGTCTGTGACTCGACCGATGGTTTCGATCGCTTTTGTCAGACTTCTCGTACTTGTCTTTGGACTTAGACCGCGATCGAGACCTCTCGCGCTCTTTGTCTCTGTGTTTGCGCGAAGAACCCATCGGTGGTCGCAATCAATGCATGAGATATTCACTCAATTTCTGATCAATCGATGAATTCGTGTTGAGTTTCAAAAGCATTTGTCACACAAACCACTATTCGTTGCATCCGTTCATAACATACGTTACCTTTTAGTGTCAATTCACTGCCCATTCAAACACATATAATACAGTAAACCGTTAAATGTATTCAAAATTTTTAAGATTTCCTTACTTTCATTGACACCACTCTCCTCTGCATATTACGCTATGTGTGGATTAGATGCCCAATCAGTTGACATTAGATGGCATTAGTATCGCATGAAATGCCAAAAACACATGACTTTTAAATCAAAAAATATTTGTATTTTGTTTTTGATTTGTTTTGCATTTAATCATAGATTTGGTGGCAATTAGTTTGCACTGAAAACACTTGAATTAAGCGATCATTTGTGACAAAATGCTGACAAAACTAATGAGACATAAATTGCATTCAAGGCAAGCGTTTGCGACGATCGGCGCCAATGTGTGTGACCGGCGAAGGCATTCCTCTGGGTCTGGACACCATTCCTCTGGGTCCGGACACTCATTGCACTCGTATTTGGTGCCCATAGTGGTGGAGCAGACGGGAAGGGGTGAGCGCTCGTATGACATCTACTCGCGACTGCTGAAGGAGCGCATCATATGTCTGATGGGAGGCATCAACGACGAGATGTCATCCCTAGTTGTGGCACAACTACTGTTCCTACAGTCGGAGTCGGCCAAGAAGCCCATCCACCTGTACATCAACAGCCCGGGAGGGGTCGTGACGTCAGGGCTGGCCATCTACGACACGATGCAATACATATTGCCGCCGATCGCCACGTGGTGTGTGGGTCAGGCCTGCTCTATGGCCAGCCTATTGCTGTGCGCGGGTGAGCCCGGGATGAGACACTCTCTGCCCAACTCGCGGATTATGATTCATCAGCCGTCGGGTCAGGCGTCAGGACAGGCCACTGACATCCGNTGCCGCCGATCGCCACGTGGTGTGTGGGTCAGGCCTGCTCTATGGCCAGCCTATTGCTGTGCGCGGGTGAGCCCGGGATGAGACACTCTCTGCCCAACTCGCGGATTATGATTCATCAGCCGTCGGGTCAGGCGTCAGGACAGGCCACTGACATCCGCATCCACGCCGAGGAGATACTGCTGCTTAAGAACCGTATCAATGGTTTGTACGCAAAGCACACCAAACAACCGCTTCAGAAGATTGAGGACAGTATGGAAAGGGATCGCTTCATGAGTCCCGATGAGGCCAAGGAGTTGGGATTCATTGACAATGTTCTCGAGAAACCGCCGCTTATTAGTGAACCTAAAGAACCATAGTTTCCGTTGTTTTAGTCATTAGTTTTATGTCTTTTTAATTCAACATTTGTAACAATTTATGAAATATATTAATAAATGATTTCTAATATAATTTTGTCTAAATTTACAAATTATTTGTTCACAACTTAAAGTTATATAATAACAATTTTCAGACTAAATTAGTATTGTATTGAGTTAGTAATTTTATGGCCTAATATACAATTAGGTATATTAACACGGTAGTATTAATAGTATAGTTGCATTTTTATGAATAGTCATTAGAAAGCAATAAGTTTAATAAAATTTTAATTTAACAAGTAAGTAAATACAGTAGTATTTTATACAGTATAAGATTCATAAAATTCAAACTAATAGAGTAATGAAGTTAATGATCAGAAATTGCTAACGAAATGGAAAAATTTTAAATCATTAAAGATTTAAATGTCAACCTTTGTTTTTTGTATTTAATTAAAGTTTATAGAAAATACTGGACACTCTTGTAAACTTTATTGTGATTATATATGGAATCAATAATTATTGAGATAGGATCAAATCAAAATGAATGCACTTTTTGTAACTTTAGTCAAAGGCTACACATTAAGACACCGTGAATGGGAATTAATGTTTTAAAATAGTACTCTATATGCAAATGGCTATGATTTAATCCATTAATTATATGAGGGTTTGGCTAAAATGTAATAATTTATGAATAATAGAAACATTTCTAATTCGGTAATTAATTATTAGGAAAGCAGTTTATTTTTGTTATATTTTATTTGTATTTGATTTGAAAATTAGTCTAATCTCATGCTAATGTTTAGTTGACTGTATTATGTATTAAATGACTAATAAAAGTGAATACAGTGTATAATATTTAGCGAAAAATTCATGTTTCGATCGCTTCTATAGGGAAGAACAGGAAAAGTCTTAATTGAATAACAATTTAAAGCTTTTAGTCGTATTTTGATTAAAGTTTTTGTTTGTTATCTATACTTTGTATTAGTATTGGATGTCTTTCCACCGCATTTGTAAATAACTGTCTTTAAGAACCCTATTATTTGATTTGATTTGTGCTGAAGACATGACATTCATTAGCGAACAGTTTGTCGTTTTCGGCAACTTTTGTTTGTCTCACTATTTCTTAGTTGACTAACAGTTGGCTATAATTTGCCGCTCAACTCATCACTGCAACCAACTATTAGACAACGGAATCACTTCTTATTAGTTTCAGTGCTTTAGTGCAACCAAAACTAGAGTCAAAGCTTTGATTATAATGTTATTGATTTCCTCGTTAGAAGCTGTTAGGGCTCACCCGTCACACAGACATCACTGGATCACCAATTATATGATTCATACTTCTGTCTGTCTTACGGACTATTGATATAGTTTTGCACTAATTATGGTTTTAGACATTATATAATCAGAACAATCAATAATATTTCATTTCCAACTCATCACTTGTTATCATAATTAGACACAATATTCATATCGAGTTCAGTTCAATAATAAAATACATGTTAAGAAATTAGTTATTTTGCTAACAAAACAAAAATGTTTTTAAAATTAAATGCAATTAATAATCACATGTTATGTGAAAATTTGATTAATTGATTATTATATGATTTATTATTTACAAAATATAGATAAATAGTTAGCGGAAAATACGGCAAATAAATGCGTTTCTGATGCTTATGTTGAGTCACGAAATGGACAAAAAAGTCACAAAAGATGTACAACACGTCCGATAGGCTATAATTAAGGCAAAGAGAGCTTATGTTAGGGTCAGTCGGGTATCATATAATAGCTAACGATCGAAGTACTGGACATTCATTCGTATTCTTATATAAGTAATTATAGTGTGTTTGTCGCTAACGATGCTATCCTCGCATCCTATACTCCCATCACAAACACAACTGAGTCTATAGTTTACGACAGCATTCAGTACTGTATTGTCTACTCTTGTCTAAAGAGAGCATACTTTGAACATAATATCACAAATTGATCACAACTTTGGCTCAACACAACTCTCTAATAACTAAACACAGATTCCCAGTGTTTCTCGTCTTCTTCGTGAAGTAAACCAAAAATTTATTTGTTTAATGAAGACATGGTTTTTGTTCGGAAACTCTTTCGGTGACAATCAGTGAATACAAGGATAGCATTGATAGAGAGGATGAGTAGATTCGGGCAATAATTGGGTTAATTTCAAGTGAAACACGTTTGAAGTTAGCGGTGAACCAGAGATATAACGACCAGAACCTAGGGCTTAGGAGTTAGGGGTTAGGAGTTAGGGGTTAGTCATGTATGCAAGCATTCGCTTCATTTTATGGACAAATTGTGTGCAGTTATTGCTGTCAATTGAATGCCTATTCAATGCACTCCGAGTGTTGTGTTGCTCTCATCTCTTGTATATCACACTCTCTATAATACACTGTATTTGAGGGGAAAACCAAAAAGTGATGATTCCGTGACTGGAATTGAGTTTTGAATAACTCTTGATTTGTCTAATACTTTAAAAAGCAGTGTTTTTCAACAGTAAATCAAATGAAGTAAGTAATGAAATGAAGTGAACAAAGTTATCATATGAAAGCCTCTATTTTACTCTTTTGAGAGTTCATTAAAAGTGACACATCTTTGCAAAAATATAAATGATTTTCTTTGGATTAATTCACACGATATATAAAACTTATTAAACGAAATAAATTACTTTTCATATATTTTACGCGCTTTTAATTTATTAAATTTTAGATTTCATATTAACTTTAATTGAATGCTAACAATGAGTGGTAGGAATGGGAGGAATAGGAGGAACGGGAGGAATGGGAGGAATGGGACGGCAATTGAGAAGAAAAGTATTTTAAAGAATTTTCAAGTGTTTAAGTGTCTCTGAATGTTATGTCTATTCATTCATTGATTCATTGATTGTCTACTTATCAGTGCTTGTAATCAAAGTATTGCTTTTAACCAACACGTGACACATCATCTAATAAACGTATGGCTTTATCTGATAATTATTATAATAACTAACAATATTGAGCATCAAATCCCTGGCCCTTATTTGTCGGTCTTTTGCCTTTTTTTCTGTGGGAAAAATAGAGCCACCCCTGGGATCAGCTATCAAAAAGTGCCTGTGCTATGCTGCCTGTGCTTTGCTGCCTGTGCTTGTATTGTAGTCTCTGTGCGGTAATACACTCTCTTTTGTGGTGATTAGCATCTCATGAATCTCATACTCATAGCTCCCAATACTTTATTATTATTATTTGTGTTGTTAGTCCACAACAGTCTGTATGTAAGGCAACAGCGGGTGTCGGCTCTGTTGGACTCATTGCAGTCGATAGTAGGAAGTGAATGGTATTCATTATATTTCACTTTATATTCATTTACCAGTTTCTCCCAATTATTTATTTATTGCACTCCAAATTGTATTGTTATAAATACTTATCAAATTTGGTACTTATTTTTGTCACAATCTCTAATTCCGTCAAAACGAGTAATTTTTCTTTATTTTTCAAATCGCTTTTCAGATCTTTTTTCCAAAACGAAATTCTTTTGTGATTTAAAACCATATTAATATAAGCTTTTAAATGCAATCAATTAATTTCCAAAAAGCTATTCTCTCGATGAATACCGTATAACGAGAAAAATTAAGAATAAAAAATTTGAAACAAAATTACACAAAATATATAATACTTTCGTAATACGTTTAAATATAATGCTCGGGAAAGTATGTATAAAAGTGTGTGAGTTTTGATTAGAAAAGAGATAGAGAGTAAGTATCGGATATTAATTGAATGGAGAGTTGGAGTGGAATTGGGTTTTGCTTTGAAAACTGATCTCTTGTTTTGAGAATTACCTGCGAATCAAATAACCCAAAACTAATCATAAAAGTTTAGACAACAAGAGATATCAGATTATTAAGGCTTATATTGACATCAAATGATATATTTAATCAATAAATACGACTCTTACGTATAAAGATTTATTTTCATTCAAAATATGATAAATAATGACTTTTTCTGTACAGTAGAGCACAGAAATGTTTTTAGCGAATGAATTATGATTATAGTCGGCAATAGAGAGAGAAAAGTTTTTTAAGATGAAAATTACAAGTTTGGTTTGTCATTGAAAAACGAGGTTTTCATTTGTCTCCGCTATTATTGATATTAAACAATGAGTTGATTGTGTAGAGCATCACAGCATTCATCCGAACGTAAAGCTACTAATAATAGACCAGACTTTTGATGTATGCCTTGTATGCCATCAAATACTTTGCAGACAATGTTTTTGTTATAATAGTGTCGTTCTGTTGACTGTTATAACAATATATACGACAATATATGCATCAAAATTACAGCTAATGTCTCGGCTCTGAATTCAATCACATAATACTTCACTCCGTATGCCGTAAAGCGTACGACAAATATATGTTGTGCTCATTGTTTGTGATTTGAGTGCAATCTCGTTATCCACCACTACTTCACTCTACTCTGTACTCGACTCAAGTGAGAGCACTGGTATGACATGACTGGGATGACGGGGATGATTGGGTCCCATTGGATGAGTATTGAGAATATTGCTCATCAGTAGTGCAGAGTCGGTGTGACTCGGAGTTGGGCTGAAGACACACGTGTCTGGTCTGGTCGTCGACTGAGTCGTGTGTCAGTGCATAGCAATCAACAGTTGAGGAACGGATGAACGGATGCTACAAATTTTCCGATTCACTTCAGTCTCGCACTCACACTCTCCTTCACTCTCACTCTCTCTCTCTCTCTCTCTCTCTCTCTCCCCTTCACTGTCTGTCCAGTGCACCGATGCCTCAGCCCTTGTTTATGAGCTCAATATTGAAGCTAAAAATGTTAATATTATTGCAATAACAACGCTTCCAATCAATGGTGTGCTCAGCACTGGAAGTGCTGCTGAGGGCCTGTAATTAGCACTAAAGTCATTGAACACAGGCTTACGTTCATTCAATTTATTTCTATTATTATTGGAATTAGGAATAAATTATCGTATTATGAGAG